TCATCCCATAAGTGTCAGTCACTTTTCAGCTGGATTGCTAGCGGATATCCTTGCTGCGAGATATGGAATCCAACGCCGTCGAACACGATTTAGACACTCTTGAAGGTATGTTTGCCCGACTGCGTATACCATTGCTTATCACTCACGGAGAGTTCCATCAATGGAGGGTCCGTTGCGCATCGGACGACTCTTCCCACCGCAAAGATAGAAGCAGCATCAACGAGAGAATCAACGTCACTCATAGTTTGCACTTCGGGGAGCCCATGGTGCCCGAGCCCAATGCCGTTTGCGCCATCGTCACCAGGCCTGCCGCCTTATTCACTCTACGGCCCTTCGCCGAGTGTCGTACTCTATATAAACCCGCATGGGCTCTCAAGAACGGCATCCATAATTTGAGAAAGCTCCTAAACTCAACCTCCACAACTTAAATTCGCAATGTCGTCTACATCTACCCAAACCCAAACCACAAGCACTACGGCCCCCGTCCGTGCACCGCTCGACTGCTCGCTAAACGTGGGCGAGATCATCGACCTGCACGTTACACGAGCGCACCGCGGAGCGGCGTACGCCTTCGCGGACGGCGCGGGTGGCATAACGGAGGTCAGCCAGTTCGAATTCGCGCGGGCGGCGCACCGCGTCGCGCACCTCCTGCGGCCGCAGCGCCGCGGGGCAGAGGGTCAGGTGCTCGCCATCGCCGCGCTCACAGACGCCCTGCTCTACCAGACGCTCGTCGCCGGCTGCATAAAGGCGGGCATCGTCGTACGTCTACACTCTTGGTTAATCGCAAGCTGTTCTCTCATCTTGTTTCTGTTTTTCTTTTGCCAGCCCTTCCCGATTTCACATCGCAACTCTGCTGCCGCAGTGCTCCATCTTCTTAGAACCACCGGATCGCACCGGCTGCTGACGACCAAGGGCTCGCTCGGCCATCTTGTCGGCGCTGTAGGCACTGAGTTGTCTGCGCAGAGCCCGCCATACGAGCTCTCAATCGAGGAGATCCCCTTTCTCGGACAACTCTACCCGCGTCTCGGTCATGAAACCATAGAAGATCCTTTTGTACCTTATCCCAGCCCGGCTACGAGAACGCCACTAGACGATGTCGCATTGTACCTCCACTCCAGTGGTAGGCTCCCACCGCACCTCCTTCCTCCCTGTCAACTGATTTTTTTGGGGGATTAGGCAGCACCGGCTTCCCGAAATCTATCCCTGAGACCCACAGAAGCATCATCCATTTCGCAGCCCTTGGTTCGTTTTCTCCCTTCCGTGCGCTTCGAATCGATTGGCTCATGCCACAGCGCAGAGACACTCACCGACCTAGTCGACATATCCCCGCGCCATGCGGTCGGCGCGCTGCCCGCCTTCCACGCGCTGGCCTTCGTATCCCAGCTGATTTATCCCCTGCTCACGGGCGGGACGGCGTGCATATACCCGCCCTCCACGGCAAGCGAGTATGTCGTCCCTGTAGTCCCCACGCCGCAGAATGCGCTTGAGAACGCGCGCAAGGCGAACGCGACGGGGGTCATGGCGGTCCCGGCGATGATTATGGAGTGGCAGTCCCCGGAAGACGTGACATATCTCAAGACACTTAACCTCCTTGTACGTTTTCAGCCCTAAAACAATCTCAGACCGCTGAAAATCATATTTTTTCAGTCATATTCCGGCGGCCCGCTCGCGTCCCGTGTCGGCGACGCGCTGTTCAGCCAGGGTGTGAAGATCGTCCCGATATACGGTGCGACCGAGTGTACGTAGGAATTCCATGCGAACCTACGCAGTATATTGACGAGAGCGATTTATATTGCTAGTTGGGGCTTCGAACAGGCTCAAGATGCGCCAAGCAGAGATCGACGCCGGGGAATGGGCGTGGATGCACTTCAGCAGCCGGGTGAATATCCGGTGGATCCCCCAGGGAGACGGAACGTTCGAGTGCCAGTTCCTCGTGAGTTCACCCGGTTTTGATCTTGCCTCGCTGATCTCACGGTTGGCAATAGACTGTACCGGAGACGCACCAAGTCTCGGTTGAGAATCTCCCCGACGTGAAGGGATATTCGACCAAAGATTTATTCGAGCGACACCCGACGAAGCCCGACCTCTTCAGAATGTGGGTCTAACAAATCTAGCATTCAAGTGGTATTCTTTAACCAATTTTTGACAGTGTGGGCCGTCTGGACGACGTACTGATCATGGCCAATGGCGAGAAGACGGTGCCTGGGCCGATGGAGGACGTCATGATGGCTAGCCCTTTCATCATTGGCGCGGTCATGTTCGGGCGTGAGCGCAACCAGGTCGGCGTCCTCATCGAGCCGAATCCCCAGTATAAGCTCGATCCCAAGGACGAGCAGCAGCTTGCGAAGTTCCGGAATTCGATCTGGTGAGTTGAATGAAGTCGCCCGGGTGGAGTTGGTTGCTTATTCCTACTTCAGGCCTGTCACAGAAGAGGCCAACGAGGATGCTCCTGCCTTCGGTCGAATCTACAAGGAGATGATTCTGGTGACCGACCCGGACAGGCCGATGGCTCGTGCTCCTAAAGGCACAGTCAACAAGAAGGCGACGATCGCACTGTACAAGGAAGAAATAGAGGCGCTGTAAATACTCAGATTCATCGGACTTGCTTCTATGGCTGACCAGTATCTTTATAGTTACGACACCATCGAGGCGAGCGGGAACGCTGCTAGCGACATCGAGCCGCCTTCATCGTGGACCACCCGCGATCTCGAACCATGGCTCGCGAAACACGCGAGTTTACTGGCAGAGCGGGATATCCACGGTGGCCACGACCTCTTCGACCAAGGATTCGACAGCCTCAACGCCACCTTCTTGCGACACCGCATCGTCGGCGCGTTGAAGAATTCTGGCGACGAAGCAGCGAAGGCAGCCCAAAAGATCCCACAGAATTTCGTCTATTCCTATCCCTCTATCCAGGAGTTGGCCAGTGCGGTTATAAATCTCCTGGTGTCCGGCAGTTCAAATACAGATGCTGGGCACAAGGCCGCCATCGAAGGAATGATTGGAAAATACAGCCAAGGGTTTGACCAAGCTATCGCTCAACCGGAGATGGTTTCCTCGTCTGGCGGAGCAGTGGTGCTTCTGACGGGCTCGACAGGCGGCCTCGGCTCTCACCTCCTCGAGATGCTTCTCAGTCTTCCGGCAGTTGAACGCGTATATGCATTCAACAGAATGGGCAAAGCTCCGTCATCCAACCGACAGACGGAAGCTTTCATTGATCGCGCTCTGGATACCAATTTGCTATCCTCCGAGAAGTTGGTGTATCTCGAAGGCGATACGTCGAAGCCGGATTTGGGAGTACCTGCGGATGTTTACACCAAGGTATGTCCAACTTCCTCATTTATCGAAGATCGTGTGTTGAGTTTCTCTTGCAGCTCCGCGACACGATCACGGTGGTCATCCACAACGCCTGGACGCTCGACTTCAACAAGTCACTGTCTACATTCGAGCCTCACGTTAAGGGAACACGCAATCTCATTGATTTAGCACGCCGATCGCCAAGTGCATCCACTGTCCGCTTTTTGTTCACGTCTTCCATCGCATCTGCACAGGGGTGGGACCAAAAACTCGGACCGTTCCCCGAAGAACTCCAGCTCGATGCAGATGTTGCTGTCGGTAACGGTTATGGCGAGAGCAAGTACGTCTCGGAGCGGGTGAGCAGCTTCCATCTTTCGGGCTGTGCTTGCGCTAACATATTTTTCAGATTCTGGCAGCGTCCGGTCTGCAAGGGACCTCATTCAGGATCGGGCAGGTCAGCGGGGCGGCTACCAACGGTGCTTGGTCGACCACGGATTGGGTTCCCGCCATTGTAAAATCCAGCATCGCGCTGGGAAGCTTCCCCTCTAGTCCAACCAGTAGCATAGCCTGGATCTCTCCCGAGGCGGTGGCTCGCACCATCGTCGACGCTGCACTGTGTACGGAACGTCCGCCGTTTGCGCTCAACCTCGTCCACCCGCGGCCCGTATCGTGGGACACCATCATCTCGAACATGGCCCGCATCGCGAATCGCAAGCTCATACCGTTCGCGGAGTGGGTCCGCCAGCTCGAGGCACGCGCTGCCCGCGCAACGCCCGAGGATATCAAGAACATCGTGCGTTGCATTCCTGAGATCCCAGTCCTCTCTTGATGCTGACATTCAACTACAGCCCGGTATCAAGCTGCTTGACTTCTTCACCGCGGTGACGGCCGGTGGCGGGAGTACGGAGTTCTCCACTGTAAAGGCGCAGGAACTCAGCTCAGCGATACGGTCGGTGGAGCCGTTGGGCATGGAAGACGTCGAGCGATGGATGCAATATTGGAGTGAAGAGGGGTTTATTAATATTGCTGGATCGAATTAGACTGTATTAGTTGTATACTGTATCGGTAGTATTTAAATTACAGCGTTACAAAAACGAGAATACTAGTAGCCTACTCCTTGCATTAGACCCTTTGCCCTCCCACCTTAGGGCACCCGAAGAGGTTCATTTGCGAAGAGCATATGAAAAAACAACATCGAGTATCCCTTATGCAGTTTTCTCTGTCTCGTAGGTCAGGAGTTACATTCATAATTCACTTGAAGGCTAATTTCGTGCATAGCCACACATAAAATCCGCTTTGACCGACAAGTATTAGGGAATACAGAGTATGCATCGATCAGAACTACTCTGCCACTATCCAGGTACGTTCGAATCAGCGGCCATCGTGCTAGTCATCGGTGTTCCCGCCCTGCCAGTAGAGCGTGGAGCAAGCGAGGTCCTCGCGAAGCGATTTCATTCGATAGAAAGCCAATGCATGCCGGTGCGAGTCGTGGATGTTAAGAGCAAAGAGACATCGGCGAATGCCGAGCTCACGTGCCGAACTCAACTTTGGTTCAACTTTTCTTCTTTTCAGGCATTCGAACCCTACAGCGCTTGACTTGCATGGTTTTGTCTCATAATACTGAGTATTTCAATCTTACATCCCCCGATAAAAGGAGGATCAAAGGAAGCGCCCCAAATAAACAACGGCGGAAAAAGCAAGCATGGCGCAGCCTTGAATCGAACAAGGACCTTCCACCAGAAATAATCCAACCTGCGCAGCCTTGGGAGATATGCTAACCATTACACCACTGGGACACTATCTATTTGTATCAAAATCGACAGAACATCGTTATTTTTCGTCGTGGGTGAGAACAAAAAAGGTGTGGGCAAGGGTCATGGCCTGACCTTGAGTCGAACAAGGAACTTCCCGACAACTGAGATGAATACTTTGTATGATGGAAGAATGGGATACCGTTTCACCATCAGGCCTATGCCTGCTTTGCTTGCATCTGCCTCTACCTGCATGACCTCTAGGTTTATTTTAATCTGGTTTCAACCGTATTAGCTGAATAAATTGACCCAAAGACGGAGGCTATGGAGGGACTTACCAAGGAGGAATCGGACGCAGAATGGACTGAACCAAAGCGAAAAAAGTCAAGACAGATACATGCACTTCGGGGAGGAGAGTGATATCTGAGAATCAGAACCGGCTCGGAGTGTTGCGGGCAAAGGTTCCGAGCTCTCCCGAGATTCGCAATTAATTTTTCAACGCCTCTGCAGAGCAGAAGATAAAGTGGATTGTCGAGCTGCACCACGGAAGAGCAACCACAGAGGTGGATACCAATTTTAGGGGTGGGAAGTACAAAATAAAAAAATCCGCAAATCGATCACTATGGCCTGACCTTGAGTCGAACAAGGGACCCCTGCTGAAACCCACTTTAATCTGCACTAGGTAAAGCAGGTGTGTTACCACTACACCACCAGGCCTTTAGATTTCCTTCTCAGTAACTACAGTAAAGTACGTGGATGGATTTCTGCGAACCCGAACCAAAAAATAAAATAAAAAGGCAGCAAGCAGAAGAAAGGCCTGGCCTTGAGTCGAACAAGGAACTCCTACCGAAATCAGGAAAAACCTTAAAGGGAGTAGGCATGTTACCGTTACACCACCAGGCCGACGTTATTGTGGGTGGCTGACTTGATATTGAATGTCGAGTGAACGAACGCGCGGCGAGCTGTGACTTCAAAAGTTGAATTTTGGGTGAATTCAATTCTTCGTTGAAGATGTAATCGTGCAATTAAATTTAAACGATCGCATCTGGGGAATCCGACTCGGAATAAGAGAGCTTCAAGATACAAATGGTTCACGATACAAGAGGCTGTCTGAGATAGGTAGAGTAAGATTGGTGCGATGCGCATCGAGAAGATGCGCCTGGGGATGGATATATACAGATGGATGCGATGCATGTGGGTGCAGGGGAATACGAGTTCAAGGACAACGTCGTCAAGTATATCTAGGCCTAATATCGAGTGTCCCAGGTTGAGCGAGAGAGCGCGACTCAGTGTCAGGTTGATGAGGTTGAACTTCAAATCGCGCATGAGGGGGACGCTGAACCGTGTACCATGGATCAACGCGAGGTGTGGTGTGAATCGCCGTCAGGTTCGTAGACGGCGGACGTGAACTGGATGTATGCGACAGGAGACAAGCTGGGGGCGTACAGGTCGCGAGGTGCGCACACGAGAGTTGATACGAATTTTTGGGTCGATTATAAATACGCAGGAACGAGAGGCGTTCTGGAGTGCGACGTGTTGGAGGCGATGCGCAGATCGTTTCGACTACCGTCAATATTCTTTGCGCGTACATACTTGCGGCTCCGAGTCCTTGAATTTTGAGTAGGTCATCACGACTGAGGGTGGGTGGATTTCGTTCATTCCCGGGACGAAGGTTCCAGCTTCGGGCACAAGGCGCGATGGCGTTTAGTATTATTCAGCGGCCAGTAGTCCTTGCGCGGTTGGGGAATGAGCCAGGCAGATGGTGGCAAGAAGAAAGGTCATTGTGTCACGATTGTCACGGCGGCGAGCTCTCCACCAAGCGTCCAGTACAACCGGATCCATCCTGCGAGATACAGATCACAGCTATCCTGAGACCACGACGAACAGCGGTCGGATACATACGAAAGAGAAGGGCTCGAGAAGGACTCGAATGGCAAAGACCAGTCTTTTAGCGTCCGAGTCGTCCTCTGTGATCTTTCCCCGACTTCGCTATGACACAGCAACGCTAGCGTTTCACGGAAGCCCAGGAGCCTCCGTGAGCCGTCCATGTCTTCCCTCCGTTTCTAGGCTATTGATCTTGGTCTTACAGTACAGCGCGGCCCCAGTAGACTCTACAAGCATAGAGTATGATAGAGTCCTATGCGCGTGCCCTCGTCTCTCCTCCCCGCTGCTGGCCCCCCTTTCCGTCCAGATTCTGTGGGACACCACATGGACAAAGCCACCGCAAGTGTCGTCGTGCTCTATTTCTGGCGCGTTTCATTTCGCTGCGTGGTCTCGTATCGGATGCCAGGCGGCGGGAGGACGCAGCACGACGGCGAATGCAAGCTGCGCTAGCCCTGGTCCGGACCGGCGGCTCCGCGCATGCGCGAGCTCCCCTGCTTTGCATCATGCTGTCTCAGATGCTGGCCCTCCTCTCCGCGCCCCTCCTAACGGCACCTTCTCGCGCGATCGAGCCAGTACTACATGCCGCGAGCCCGCCTCCTCACTGCGACGTTGCGGACTCTGTCCGCACTGCACGAGGCGTCACCGCGGTGTCCTACGTGGCAACGCCCGGTGTGCATGTCCGCGTCGGCGCGTTTCGTGGCGTGCGCGCCTGGCTTTTGTGCAGGCGGTGGTCTCGTGGCGTGGGTTATGTGGGCGCGATGACGAGTGTGGGCGGGGGGAGTTGTGGCCGCGACTCGGATGGGTGGGCGAGCGCATGTGCGAGCTCTTACCGTCGCTCTGGCGTTGTCTCTGATGCGACGCCATGGAGGGCCCTGTCCTCCGGCCTATCGTCGTAGTCGATGTCTGGGGTGCTCTCCCTGCCTTCCTTGTGGGGTCGTGCTATCCTCTCCGCACGGGGATTTGTCCCCAGTGCATGGGCGGAGCTCCTGTCTTTCTCTCGTATGGGTCTCACAGGCGATGGGCGGGGCGCGCGCATGGCTGGCACCCTTGCCTACGGGCGCGGCACAGTCCATGCCGGGCCCACCTCGTTCTCGATTGGGGGCTTTGGCACATGTGGACAGCAAGCTATCTTTTACGCTCGTTCCCCTCTCCCCGCGCCTTGATTGGAGTGCGCTCTTACCGCGGGCGGGTGATGCTCGCGTGCTTCGCGCCCAGAATGCCGCGATCGCGCATTTTGGCTCGTGGGATGCTCAGCGCGGTCGTCTTCCCTCACCGCTCTTTCTATCGGGCTTGGAGTCGGGGCTTCGGATGCGTCCATGGGGATGAGAGCCAGGCGCTGCCCTGCGTTGCGTGGTTGGGCATGGGAGCCTGGGAAGAGGAGGGCCAGATGAAGGCGAGGCGGTGGAGCCGAAGTGCGTGCGGGGTGCGAGACGTCCTCCCCTGCACAAATGCTGAGGAGGTGCAGAGGTATCGGCGAGCTCCTCCTTTACAGGGCTCCCCCGCGGGACAGCACGAACACGATGGGACGATGGGGTCGGTGTCGGTGCTCGTGCTGCCCCAGGTCTCTGCGCGGGATGCAGATGTGGAGGTAGAGGCTTATCCACGGGGGTAGGCGCGCCCTTCGCCGTTGACGTCGAGATGCGCGCGGCCGCCAGCAGACGGTCTACGGGGCGCTGGACAGAGGCCGTGATACACGGGTCCGTCGCCGCTGTCCTACTAAGCATCGCGCGCGTCTGCACGCTTTACGGGGCGCCGGGCAGAAGTGGCGATATCCGTTGCCCGAGGGTCACGTCGAGCTGCGCGCGGGGAAGTCCACTGTGGTATGGGACGTTCGCCACGAGACGCGCGCGGTCTGGAGGTGCGTAGGCCGCTGGAAGAGGTCTCCGAGACGCCGGGCGCAGACACTGAGCGTCATATTAAGATGCGCACGGCGTCCTGCGCGCCGGGATGGTGGTGCTCGCGAGCGCACAAGCTGGCTACTGTGCGCTCGAAGACAGCAGGCTTGCCTCCAGTGCCTCTCGCGCCCATCTGTCTGCGGGCACGTGTGGGTGCCAGGTTGCTCCCTGATAGTCCCTTTTCATTGTCTCTTGCCCCGGCTACGCTGCGCTTCATTCCGGCTTGATTTCGGCGGGCAGGAGGCGATACCCGGAATTTCTCCCTATCGCCTGAAATGTTATTTTTCACCGTCCATCTGAATTCATTCGCTAGATTATTTTGTAAGCCCTTGTTAGTTCCGATTTGGAGCTACTTGGTTCCGACGGAGGCTCAGTTGAATTCTCTGGTTCGGTTTTCCAACAATCCTAGGCTCTAGCTCGGTTTCCTTCGCGTTCTGGGTTCTCATGTGCCAGACGAGGAAGGGAACTCCGTAGAGACCTGGACTGAAACAGCCACAGACTCCGTAAATCCACAAATCTTAACCATTGTCGGCTCGAGTTAAGATTCCGACTTGTCGGGAAATGCCAATTCATCGCTCCGTGTTTGTAAGCACCAAACGCTGACTACTCTGCTGCAATGTTTCGATGTGATCCTGTTCCGTCCGGCTTCGGTTACCCAACTTAAAAGTCTAAGAACACCCCTTCGACGAGTGTCCTGAGACGCAGTGATGTTCGCGATCTTCATCTGTATTACGCTGTCGATTTCCCTCAGTTCTGGTGTATCGGCTGCAAACCCGGCTCTAGTTTCCTTGCCGTACGGGACGTTTCAAGGCCTCGACACTGGGAACCTGACCAAATTCCTTGGTGTTCCGTTTGCCCATGCGTAGGTCTGTTGCTGAGATCTTGGATTGATGTTGACGCGATTTTACAGCCCGCGCTTTGACACACCAAAGCCTCCCAAACTGATGCACGGTGTGCAGAATGCCACAGAGTTTGGGCCCGCTTGTCCTCAGCAGGCACTGACTCCTCTGCCGATCGGGTCCCAGCCTGGATTATATCCTTCAATCTCTGAAGATTGTCTGTTTCCCAATGTTTTTAATTGACTGGCGCCCTGACTTCATTAAAGGTTTAACGCTTGATATCTTCAAGCCCGCTGCCTCGGATTCCAGATCGAAGCTTCCTGTATTTGTGGTAAACCTATTCATGATGCTTCACCTGGCACGAGGTGCTCACCTTACTGGTAATAGTGGATATACGGGGGTAAAATATCTCGCACGACGACGCAGTTTCCTTGAGGAAAAGATTCATGTCGCATTCCCTTAGGTGGCTTCGAGATTGGAAATTCGAGGGATCAGAACGTCTCGTCATTAGCCGAGCGCTCCATCGAAACAAGCGAACCCGTCATCGTTGTCGCGCTGAACTACCGCCTCACTGGTGAATTCTCCTCATCTTCCATTTCATCTCGCGACATAACGCACTCTCCTTAGCATTTGGCTTTTTGGGATGACAGGAAGTCGACGCGGCAGGAATAAGCAATCTTGGTTTACGAGACCGTAGGTCTTCATATCATAGCATCCGAGGATTCGATTTACGAGTGTATTTACAGAGATTTATGCCCTCGAATGGGTTAAGAAGCATATCTCTGCATTCGGCGGAGATTCCGATCAAGTCGTCATGTAGCTCAGTTCCATTCATTACATGCGCTCCTACTCATGGACCTTCGCAGCGGCGGCCCGAGCGCAGGAGCTATATCTACGTCTCTCCTCATTCTTTCCAACAAGCAGAACTCAAATGCTTTGTTTCGGGGCGCGTTCATGGTAAGTATCATTCTGGACAGCCCGCGCATTGCTCACTTAATTATCATTAGGTATCTGGCTCCCCAATCACGTCACCTTCCGTCGCCGATGGGCAGGCAGCATATGATAGCCTAGTAGTCGCTAATAATTGCACTGCCTCCCCGGACACTCTCGGCTGTCTTCGGCGCGTCCCTTTCGATTCCCTCATGGCCACGGTCAACAAAACTCCCGATATATTCTCATACGGGGGTCTTGAATTCTTCTGGCGTCCCCGTATTGACGGAGATGTTATCATGGACGACCCGTTGGTGTCAGTGGCCCGGGGATTGTATGCGAAGGTGACTTCTACGCGTTGAATGAGCGCTGCACTTGATAACGTTCGTAGATTCCTATCATGACTGGGGACTGCGATGATGGGGGAACGTACGAATGTTTATTTCATTAACCACGTATGCCAACCTGATCTTCCTCCAGTGTATTTTCATTGCCAGAAGCCAATATTACGTACGTGTGCCGCATCGCAACGGAGATCATATGTTTGACCATTGGTGCCGCTGCCCAGAACGGATGCAGAATTTTTGGATTACATACATTCGAAGTTTGTTGCAATATTTTCCCACTTGGATTCGTGGCTTATTCTCCCTGCAGATTTCTTCCAGCTAGTTCGCAGGAAGAGATCGCTCAGATTGGATTATTATACCCCGACGATCCTACTCAGGTGCGCCATTGAGGCTGCCAATTTATTCCTGGCCAACGTCGAACCTAGGGCTCCCCATTCAACACTGGAACCGCTAACCAATTGACGTATGTCCTCTCAAGAGCGTCTCATTATGTATAGATGATCAACCGTCCTTAGGCCGCAGTACAAGCGGCTTTCTGCATTCCACGGCGACTTCATCTTTACAGGACCGCGAAGGTTCTTCTTGGAGCATGCATCCACGACTCAAAATACGTGGAGTTGGTGTGCGTTCTTCTTATCCGGCGCTAATAAATGTGGGCATTGAATATTTTGTTAGTGAACAGACGAGGCAAGGATACAGCGCTAGCCATCGGCGCCTACCATGGCAGCGACATTCCGATCTGGTTCCCACCCAACAAAACGAGCGATACCACCGGCGCCGATGCTCTGAGTGAGCGGGATATTTCGTGCTTCGTTGAATAACTGAAAAGTATACCATCACAGTCAATTTCATAAACACGCTGGATCCACCCCGCGGTATCCTCGACCATCAAGCCCGCCATCTTCTGGCCGAAGTGGAACGTGCCGTCGTCGGCTGGGTCACCCTCTCTGCTGACGTTCAGTGACCCCAATGCCGTCAACATCACCGGGGAAGACTTCCGGGTCGACGCTATAGATTTCGTGAATGTGTTACTTCTGCGCGAGGCAGGTGGATTTAAATAGTACTTCAACCCCCTGGGTCATGTATGTTCGTTGAAATGGTCGAAACCAATAATATCAAAGTGCTTCTAAGCACGCTCTGGTAGATAACGCTACCTTGAGTTCTGTCGGAAATTTAAATAGGCCTCGGAGAAGTCGGGAGCTCTGAGCTAGGAATTTATTGACTACAGTGGATCTTGCTCTGACCACGGGAGACTAAACAAAAGGTAATTTCGCAGAAAAAAACTGATAGGGCGGGCGTCTCGTATGATTCTCTGAACCAATTTGTCGTAGCGTGATAAAAGTCCAAAGGCTCGTTAGCTTTCCAGAGTCGAGAACGGAGTTTTGCTCGACTCAGTCCGCGGACAATGTCGTCAAACCGCCGGACCACTTCATCCATCGTCGGCCTGGGGCAGGATCGTTTTGAACTATGTCGGCCATCAACTTGGACCTGATGAACTCGAACCCGAGATTCACCCAGCCAGCCCCTCTGCCCTGTCGCAATTAAACACTGACCGAGCAGACAACCTGCTACATATTCTGATCAAGTTCCCAGTATGATAGCCTGAGGCGTCGGCCGGGAACGGATCACATTTTTCCGGCACCGAAGGAAAGAACCAGATAAGCCGACGGGGCCAGAACAGAAAAACGAGCGGTGGAAGCGAAAAAGCAAGAGAGAGAGAGCCATTCGGGCGTTGCCGGATTGCTGGATCCCGGTGATCATGACTTCGGAGCGCGTGCCCATCCTCGTTGAAGTTCAAGTTGAAATTCAGAGCACGTCGTTGAGCGTCCGGCAAATGGAATTTACGAGATGGAAGGGTGTATTCATGTGGAAAATGAAGTAGACCGAGGGAATGGAACTTGAAACCTCCATGACCGGCGGAGGAAAAAAAAAGGCATTGCCAACTCTACTCGAATGGCCTGGCCTTGAATCAAACAAGAATCTCCTACCAAAAGGTCTACTCGCGCAAAGAGCCAAATAAAAAGCAGAAGTGTTACCATTACACCACCAGGCCACTCTCTTTGCTTCCCCCAACACTGACCACGTATATGATTTCTGGCTCAAAGAAAATAGAAGATACCGGAGGAACGGCCTGCCCTTGATTCGAACAAGGATCACCTACAGAAATGTGTGCCTCAGCTCTTACATCTCATAAAGTAAGTATGTTCTCATTACATCGGCGGGCCGTTCTCTTCACATCTCGTAGACGTATTAGATGAATCAGTTCTGCGAACAACCCAAGAAAAAAGGTGAGCGCTAGCGCAAGAAATATAAGTGGCCTGACCTCGAATCGAACAAGGGATTCCTGCTAAAATCGGTGCGAGAGGGCCAACTGCAAGCAGGTGTGTTGCCACTACACCACCAAGCCGATTACGACTCCGGGGAAGAAATTTATATTCCTCGATGAATATTGCATGTAACCAGTCAGTCCGACGAAATCGGGCTTGTTAGAACTTCCAAGAAATCACAGAGGCAGGCTATGTATGGCTGGAGAAATTGGCGGCACTACATACTTACAGAGTTGGGACTTGGTTGAGGCGGAGCTGAAGTAAAGTGAAGTCATATCTTCCGGCAGGCCATTAACCTCGAAACGCCGCTGCCGGCGATGCTAATGTTGGGGCAGCTGATCGATTCAACGAGCTGTTGGTGCAGCTGATGGAATCACCCAACCAAGGACGCAGTGTGAGTCTGGGTCCAAGATGCAGAGCCGGATAGTGTTGGCGTGAATCTGAGGGGCACGGATAAAGCCAAAGTATTTCGCGAACAATATAAAAGAGCGGGTGCCAGACTGAGCTGAGGGCGCATACAGTAGGATAGGATGGACGGGGCAGGCAGGGGTGCATGCCAGGAGATAAACGGGGCAGGCAAGCTCGCAGGACTGGCTGGTATCTCGACATAGGTATGCCTGCGCCGGACTCGGCAGAGAAACACGCAACAGACATCTTGTGAAAGCCTCTGCCTCTGTCGGGTGGTTCGAGAATAATTAGGATGTCAATGTCAATCGTGCAGAGCGCAAACTCATCCTTCGTGGATGTGGATTGTTCGGTAATCTTGAGGATCCAGTGCGTCCACGATTCTACGAATGAAAAATGCACAAAAACACAGCAGGGCGCGGGCTGTCGCGATTTGAGAGTTACACGCACGGACGCGTCCGACTCGATGAGGGAACCAAAGTGCTGGGGAACGCTGCGCTTCAATCACCCATTCGTGTTTGCGAGCCTCAAGGTCGAAAGCTGCAGAGGCGTTCGGACAGCTACCTTTCGCGCCGGAAACTAGACTTCCAGTTCACGTAAGAAGAGGACGGCGGACTGTCTGGGCAGTGAGATCGATGCAATCCAGGATAAATGCAAAACAGAAAATAAAAGAAACGGCATGAAATAAAAAGAGACTCACTCCAACCACACCACTCTCTTCCAACGTGGTGGTCGGCGTGCCACCCAACGCTCGTCCGAGTTTGCGCATGTTATGTTGGGGTGCTTTTCGCCCCACGACTTTGCGACGCACGTGAGCGGCATGTCGGCGGCCTGCGAACATTTTGAAGCTCCGCTGACCATGGTTCTACGAGTCGACGTCGGACGACCTCTTTGTTTCCGTACGACCACCTTCCCGACCCCGATCCCATCGACACGCATCCCAATGCCGCCGCTCTCCATCACCGCCTCTTAAAACTCGACGCTGTCGCTGCCACCTTTCCGCCGCCCCGGCGAAGGTCTGGGACTTAGGCGAGGTAATTTACCCGAGGGTCTTCGCGGCATCTATTTGACCTGTTTACCGTGCTAATTTTTGAACTTCAAGCGTACGCAGACTCTGGAGGGGAAGCCTGCTTCAGCCGACCGTTGTACTTCGTTCTGGAATTCTAGTCGAACCCCGCACACATAACTGATGCCTGGATGAACTCTTCCGTCTACTGCCTCCGGATGTCTGATTTTAGGCATCACCCATGTTCTTTGTTATGCGCTCTCGCCATTGAGTGTCCGCAGGATTCAGAGCGATCGTAACGCCACGCTTCAGTATCCAGATCCGTATGTACTTTAGCACGCTATAACCGGGGATGCTTTCTGTTCGGTCAACAAGAGCCGTCCGGGGCGCTTCGCGCCCCGGCCACCCCTTGATTCAACCACTGTTTCCCGAAATAAAAGATATATTCAAATTCTTTCTAATTGTGTTTTTTGTTGAATACCATAATCCTACTCTCTAAGTGCAGCAGTCGAGCGCCGTGGCACCCAGGACACCTGAACTGCCCGCGGGTTCCGCTGGCCCAACGACACGAAGAGCGCCCTCGAGACTTGGATCGACGCAAATGGGCTAGAAAGTCACCTCCGTACATTGTCGCTACGGCCAAGAAGCTGCGTCCCAGCGCAAGCACGCACCATTAACTTCGAGCCCCGGGGTCTTGAAGAATATTTGAAAATTTAGCGCTGGCGGCTAACATTGGGTGCAAGAGAAATTATGCTTGGCAGTCTGAACATGATAAGATTGCGTGTTGCCTATATTGACACTCGCACTGGAGGTTGAAGGAGGGGTTGAAGAGGACCCTGGCATTGTGCTAGTATTTGTGTGAGGCTCTATCGGGTTGCCTTCAATCTACTGTCATATTTCGACGCCACTCTGAGCAAGACTCTGAGCCTGGAGTCACGAGCGGTCGGAATCTTGGGCTGTAAATTTATTTCCCTGTAAGCCATCTGCTTGGGGTTGGTTGCAAGTTGGTTATACATGATTTCAGAAATAAAGAGGGATTGGATGGATGAAGTAAGGTGGTGGCGGCATTTTATTAGCTGTCGGGACGTGACGTGGAGGCCTTAGAATAACGCCAGGGACATGTAAGAACTAAGTAGAAATGTGAATCAGTTGTACGGAAACGTCGGGGATACCCGAGCGGAGTTCCAAAAGGCCTCAGACAGCTTAATCTTATAAAGAGAGATGATTCGATCCGATCAGTATCAATATTCGCTCTGGCCGTCCCGTGTCTCTGCGACGCAGTTGTACGCCCTTCTTTACCCTCGTTCGTCCAGATGCACTGTCAAGGCTTTCATATGACTTTGAGCACGCCGAACTTTGCCGTCGAACTCCATGTCTTCGATCATCTTGTGATTTCTCTACCTCGTAGGTCCGTCAACTCTGGCCGTATAAATTAAATTGATTAAATGTCCAGTGGCACCCGAGCGCCGTAAAGCTGTCCGCCACACGAAATGCCATATAGCTCCCGCGCTTAGCACATCCATGTAGGTTGTCATACACGTGGCGGCCGCACTGCCAGCGAAACGCACCTTGCCTCCCATGTCCACCATACCGCAGAGCTACGAGCTCCACAGTCAGTCATGGCCCCGCTCATTGCGGCGTACACTCACGGACATGTTCCAGTTATAAGTGTCAACGGGATCCACTGGAAACCCGACTTGCTGAGCCTCCATCGAGAGACACCAAATCTCTATGTGGCGATTGACGTCGACGGCAAACTGGTCCATCGGAGTTCCGCAAAAAGGGATTGGGCGGGGCTGTGGAATGATATTTCGAGTCTGTGAGTCGAGGTGTGCGCTCCACGCGTGACTCTAGGTACTTACGCGGTCGTCAGATCGGCGGAGAGCCCGTCTTCCCACATCGCTTTGCAGGTCTTCAACAAGCGTAGTTTCAAGGACGACAAATGTCTGGCCAAGGCAGAGCTGGAGATAGGTGTGCTCCTCGAGAAGTGCAGCACGCAAAAAGGCAAGAAATCTTTGTTTTACTACTCGAGCCGACATCCGACGCCGTCGCCGTAGATTTCCAACTACAGCTGGATCATGTCAAGAAGAATGCGACAAACCTTTCTAAGCCCGAACTTGTCGTGCGAATGACCGCCATCAGGCGCGCTCAAGCCGGTGCAATTGCACTTGCCAACGCCACCCAGGATAGTGTGACTATCGAAAGCGGGACGGCTTGTTCTGCTGTCAAGTTGGTTGATCACGGAGCGGAACATGCTGATCTGGCATCCGCCCTGGGAACCCTAACTGCCAGACTCGATATCGTCGTTCAAATGGGAGCGGAAATAGCCAAGGTCAGACAATACTGCATTCTGTTGATCCACGTTCGGATTCATATGCACCGATACAGATCCATCCTTATTCCAATGCCGCGTGGAAGGTGTTGACTTCAGTATACGAGGTAGCCCTGCTGTCATCTAATTCCTTGCATATGCTGACCAGCATTAGGCAGTAAAGAAACAAGAAGAAAAAGATGAGAAAGTCATTGAATTGGTCCAGACAATGGCAGATGCATATTTCTTTGTTGAGGATATGGAGGCACTGCCGGGCAAGATCAAGCAGCTTGAAGATACAATCAGTGCTTTAGTCAAACAAACTGAGGAATGTGCCCTGTTTATTCGAGAATACACCGGGCACGGGTTCTGTGGTAAATGCTTCTGAAATTTCCTCGTGATGTTACTTACAGTGTCAATAGGTAGACTTCTGGCAGGAATCTTGTCGGACCACAGCGAGAAGATCAATGATTTCACAAGTGCTTTTGCTCAGCTCCAGAAGACTCTTGACACAGGCTTAGTGATACACACCGCATTTGTCTCGACAAAAACCCAGGAAATGGTTGTGGGCTTGGGTAAGGATTTGTCTCCAGCCACATTTTTTTTTGGGAAGCGCTCATATTGGCCCCCCAAGCACAATCAGATAAGCTCAAAAGCCTCAAGCCAACTGATATGAATGCCTCCCCTCGCACGGGATGTTTACCGGGAACACGTCAGGACTTGCTGAGCATAATCACAAACTGGCTGACTACCCCGTCCGAAGCTGGGAATCCTAGCAACATTTTCTGGTTGCACGGTGTCGCTGGTGCTGGCAAAAGTGCCATAGCCACATCTGTCTCCAAACACTTTGGAGGGCTGAAACGACTTGGGGCATTTCTGTTCTTCAACAGGACCAAGAGCAGTCCCTACTCTGTTATTCAAACAATTGCATTCCAGTTGGCACGATCAAACAGCTATATTGCAACTGCCATTTGCTCTGCAATTGATGAAGATCCAGCCTTGGTAGATGCCCCAATGCAGACCCAATTTGAGAAGCTCTTGCTCCAACCTCTCAAGGATGCGGAGAGGAATATTCCCGGGCCCATCATTGTCATCCTAGATGCTCTAGATGAATGTGGTGACGCTGACTCCCGGCGGGGGCTTGTCTCCATTCTCTCAAATGAATTCTCTAAACTTCCTTCAGCATTTCGCTTTTTTATCACTAGCCGCCACGACTCGGACATTGCAGTCAAATTCGAGGTTCAACCAAACATTACAAAGCACCTTCTTGATATTTCACTGCCATCAAGTTTAAAAGACATCTGTCTTTATATTGACAATCAGTTGATAGAGATCCGACAACAGCAGAGCTTGGATCC